AAAAGATATGTGTAATCCACTGAAAGTCAAAATGTGAAAAAAAAATAAAATAAATAAAGGGATTATTGGACCTATTTACAAAAAAATACATAACATATATCCTTAATAACTCAAAGAGATTGCGCCTGAATCTACCGACAAAAGAGTTCCTCACATTTTATTATACTTTTTTTTTTATATATTTTTTTTTGGGAGGGGGAAAGAGAAAAGAGACTTGAATCTTTGACTTTAATAAGGTAAAACCTTTATAAGATAAGAAATATCATTGAACTAAAGACTCATCGGTATATTTTGTTATACTTGATACCAACTTTCACTAAATTTTATACTTTGCCACACAAAAGCCGCACATGGTCGCCTCTGCTGGTTCCAGCTAGGCCACATGCATTAAGATATTGATTGGTTTTTTTTTTTTTCCAACTAGTCACACGTGGAAATACTATGGTAAATAATAGAATAAAAAAACGTTTGAAAGCATTTTTATGCTTTGCTCAATATCTCACATCGAACAGACAAGAGAAACTGGTTCGGGGGCTCCTCACTAAGATATTGAGATAGGGAGCAAAGCATAAAAATGTTTTCAATGGTTTTTTTTTTATTCTATTATTCACCATAATATTTCTATGTGTGATTAGTTGGAACATGCATGCGATACATGCTAACTATTTTATAAATCAAAAATTATTTGTCATCTTTTCAATTGTTCACAAGAATGATACGAAGCATCATAAGTAAAATATGTTGGTACACACACTTGTGTTATATTAATGAACTAGTTATTACTTATGTTTGATAGCACAGAGTAATAAAAAATAAAAAATAAAAAATATATTTGTATTTATATCTAAAATCAAGTCACAAATATAGAGAAGAGATAAATGAATTTAAGTATCTGTTTTGTAATGGGGGTGAGAGATGGTGGACAACAGTGGTGGTGGTAGAAGACGATAATGGTTGAGATAGTGGCAATAACCATGGTGGCGGTGATAGCGACGATGATGGTGGTGGCGGTGGTGGTAGTGGCGATGGTGATGATGGGGGTGGTAGTGGCGGCGGCAATGGTGTTGGTGGTGGTGACGGTGGCGATGGTGGTGGTGACAATGGGGCGACAGTGACACACGATGGTTGGGTGGGGGCGACAGTGATGGTGGTGGTGGTGGCGGCGGCGATGACGATGGTGGTGATAGTAGTGGTAGTGGTGGTGGTGGTGGTGGTGGTTGCAACAGCGACGACAATGGCGGCGGTGATGACAGCGGTGGTGGTAGTGGCAGTGGTGTTGGTAGAGGTAGTGGAGTGGGGGTTTCAAACATTATTTTTTTAAAAGTATTTATGAGAAATAGTTTTTAAAAGTACTTTTAAAAAGTCACTCTAAATATACCCTTAGGGGCCTATTTTTTCTATTAAATTTAGGGTGTTAATATTAGCTGTTAGATTAACTTTAAAGTAAAATTTAAAGCGATCTCAACCGCAAATAACAAAAATTATTTTATTTATCTTTTGAGATTTGAATCGTAAACTACTTTATTATATAGATTTGCATTGTAAACTTTTGTCAATAAGAATAACAAACTCAAACACCAAATGAACTTTAATCAACTTAAAAAAAAAACACTCTTTAAAATGATATCAGACACAATAATAATCAATATTTGAACAATAAACATACAAAATCATATATTGAAATCTATCAAGTGTGTTGAGCTTTAACCGTGTGGTTTTATGTGTGTTAATTTATGCATGTTATGATAAAAACAAAAAATCTATCATAAATAACTCTTGCTTTGAACTTCTATTGAATAGAGAACTCACTACTTTCTTATATAGAGAAGGAGAGAAGACTCTCTCTCTAGTTACTTTTACTGGGATAATTTATTTATATATTTAAGTATAAAATTTATTTTTTAAAATTATATCTTTATTAAATTTTATAGAGATAAATATTTTTGTATGTATATAATATGACCCTCTCATGGTGCTCTCATTCTATGTTTAGGATAAAAGCACAATTATGAATAATCACTTAAAAACTATGAGGTGTGCACCCAATAATACTAGAATAACGTTATTGGAACATAATTTATTGACCTAACGTACTATGAGATTTGGATTGACTGTGGGTCCATCACATATTGAAACTTAGTGTTGATCTAATTATTATTATTTTTTTTTGGGCAAGGGAGGGAGGAGGGGGCTTGAATCCTTGACTACAAGAAGACAAATCTTTTACAAGGTAAGAAGTACTATTATACCAAAGATCCATTGATTGATGTTAATCTAATGATTTCACTGAAACTAAATCATTATGTTAACAAATTATGTCAGATTTTTAAATTCAAATAACATTACTCATTATACTATATGTACACAATTTGTTAACTTAATTCACTAATCAATTTATCGTCTTCATTAGATTGATAGTGGAATCCAACAAATAATGAAATTCATTGTTAATCTACTGACATTGATTAATTAAGTCAATAAATTAGATGCAAGAAATAGGGTTAATCTCATTTTACACCCCGAAAGATTGTTCGAATCTCAATTTACACCCTCAAAGATCAAAAATTTCAATTTATACCCTCAAAGATAGAAATTTGTATCAATGTGCACCCCCAAAAATCAAAAATATCAATTTGCACCTTTAAAGATAGAAATTTATATCAATGTGCACCTCAAAGATAAAAAATCTCAATTTGCACCCTCAAAGATAGAAATTTATATCAATGTGCACCTAAAAACTAAATTGATAAATTATACCTAGATCCCCTCATACTTGTCACTTAATCATTTAGACCTCTTCACATTTAGAATATTACTCCTACATCTTATAACATTTGTGCACGTATAACACGTAACCCATTTTCATTGATATCTATTAATATAACCGTTAAAAAATATAATTTTATCCTAATAAAAAATTATAATTTCATATTACCCTTTATTTTATGGGTTTAATATATTCTAAAGTTCAAAATCTAGTTTACCATTTGAATGTCTAATAAAATGTAAATATTTATATAATGTTTTTCATATTACCTTTTATATAAATATCTACATTTTATTAGATATTTAAATGGTAAGCTTGATTTTTAACTTTAGAGTATATCGAATCCACAAAATAAAAGGTAATATGAAATTATAATTTTTTATTAGGATAAAATCATATTTTTTAATAATTATATTAACAGATATCAACGAAAAGTGATTATGTGTTACACATGCACAAACGTCATGAGATGTAAGGGGAATATTCTAAATGTGAAGGAGTTCAAATGATTAAGTGACAAACATGAGGGATCTAGGTATAATTTATCAATTTAATTTTAGGTGCACATTGATACAAATTTCTATTTTTGATGGTGCAAATTGAGATTTTTTATCTTTGGGGATGCACATTGATACAAATTTCTATCTTTGAGGGTGTAAATTGAGATTTCTGATCTTTGGGGGTGCAAATTAAGATTTGAACAATATTTTAAGATGCAAAATGAAATTAACCCCAAGAAATATTGTTCCGTATCCACCTCCCTCTTCTTTTTTGTTGGGTGATTTTCACACACAACTGCCTTTCTAAGGAGATCAAAATTCAAAAAGATAAAAATGGCAATAAAACGATTAAACTATCATCTCATATAGAAGCTTAAGTTATTAAGAAAGATCTAAATTTAAATATCTTTATTTCAACAAAAACAAAAGAAACAAATTTTGATTACATGTTCATCAATGAGGAGAGACAGAGATCGAGACCTAAGGGCTGTTTGATTTACATCTCAAAAAATAATATCTGAAAATTATTTTTGAGAAGAATTTAAAAAAAATATTTTTGATGTTTTCTAAGACTAAAAAACTTGTTTGGTTATTTGATTCCAAAAACAATTTTACTGAACAAAAAATAATACAACCTGCTTGGATTGAGTTCTTATATAAAATTTTCTAATATAATAAACTTAATAAAAAAAAAAAAATTCGGCCTCAACGTACACCATCACACTGACTTCAACGTACCCAAATATTTGACTCACATAGAAAATTCAATACATGAAGCCGCCGGATTTATTTTGCTGCTGCCAGAAATTCAATACATGATTCCTTCAAGCCATGAAGCCACCGGATTAAATACAAAAAAGAAAAAAAAAATCAGACGGAATCGAATCCAAATTTGAAGGATATCAACATAAATCTGAAGAAGATCAACTCAAATTTAAAGAAGATCAATCCAAATCTGAAGGAGATCAACTCAGATTTGAAGAAAATCTGACCAAAAAAAAAAAGTTGAAAGCCCTTTTGCTAGAGATCGCCAGATCAAGCCCAGATCTGGAGTTGACGTTGGAGAGAGAGAGAGAGAGAGGCTTGAACACTGTTTGTGTGTCGCAAGACGATGCTCTTGGCAGAGATCGCCAAAGAAGACTGTATGTGTATGGGTGTGTTCTGTTTGGGTTTGCCGAAGTGGAGAGAGAGAGATAAAAATACTTGAGAAAGGAAAAAGAAAGGGAGAAATGCAAAAGAAAAAATCATTTTATAGTAAGATTTATTTTGCAACTAAGAAAGTTTTAAGGAGAGACCTCGTCAAAGAGCGGGATTGCTTCCCTTACTTTTTATTTTTGACTTGAAAATTCATAAAACATCTAAATAATGTTTTCTAATTTTTGTTCTCAATTTTTACTTTTTTTAAAAAATTATTTTTAAAAATTACTGTCTAAAGAGCATCTCAAAAAATTTTGTGTTTTGAGAACAAAAACCATGTTTCAAAACACAAACCAAACACTGCCTAAATGTTTGTATTGGTTTATAAAACAGTGACCATGGAGGAAGGCTAATGCAACCCTAGCTAAGTAGGAGATGCTTAATAATTTGTTATCCTTATCTTGTATCTCATCTTTCAATAGCAAATAATAATAATAATAATAATAATAATAAATAGCCCTTTACAAGCTGTTATTCCAGTAGCTCGGCCATTAAATTATCATGCATAAGTTGTTTGTGTCTTTTCTTTAAGAAATTCATATATATAACCTGCGTAGATTCTCCTCAGAACGAGGAAAATGATCATCCCTCTCCACAAGCTGCTTCTTTCTGCTTTTCTTAGTACTGTTCGATCCACACATGAATGTGCACTCAAACCCATACGCATTCCCAAAACACGAAAACAATCCTCCTCCGTCCGAGTTCCTCCGCCGTCTCCTTCCATGTCTACTATCCTCACGATCCTCCGTCGGTCCGAACTCATCCTCCCTCCGCCACCTCACACTCTTTGACCTCATCCCCTTCTCGCTGTCACCGGCCACCGTCCAATTCTCAAATATCGAGCTCCCAATTTCATTTTCCTCCGTCGAGTACAGCCCTTTCTTCATTTCCGCCGCCACCTCCGACGGTAATGGGCGCATGACGGAGCAAGGAGATCCATCGGAGACCACTGCTTTTGTTTGTTGTACCCCTAGTTCTGACCCATTTAATATCTTCCCATCATGTCTTAATGGAAAACCATCATCTCTGGAGCGTTTTGTTTGTATATTTGCACCCTTTTGTTGGGGAATTTGCTCTTGACTCTTATTATTATCGAAAACTTCAAGGAGATTAATACCAACATTGAGTATTCCCTGTAAATGACCGGACGGGCGACGAATCTGAAGCGGGACAGATCGCATGGTGGAGTTTTTCTGGCACCAATTGAGAGAAGGGAAGAGATTATTGATGAGAACTTGGGTGGTTCCAATGGGAATGTCACGCAGCCAAGCGACATTGTAGATCTCGATCACGACGGCAGCGGCAGATCTGAGGAACCTTTCGTCCACACGGAACACGAGCTTGTGATTCCAGGTGGGGTTTGTGTGGCCGTGGTGGTCAATGCGCGTGGTTTGTTTGTGATCAGGGTGCACCCATGCAACCACGTAGGTGCGCAAAAGTTTGGACACAGGTGGGAGGTCTTGGGCGGATATGACATTGATCTCTAGGAGCTTGAAGGGTGTTTGAATGGACATTGTTGTGGCGTTGGTGGTGCTGATGGTGGTTTTGGTGGCGGATATGGTATGTAAAGCTCGCCGTAGGAAGGTTCTGGTATTTGTAGTCAAATATAGGTCATAAGCGAGATGTTCGTTGAGGTTAGTTATGTATGGGAAAATACCTTTTCTGTTGAAATAAATTCTATTTCTACCACCTTGTGATTTAACCGAGTTGTATATATTGGTAATGCAATAAAGATTTCAACTGTTTGAGAAAATATTGAATGTAAGGAGATGTCACGTCATTAATATTATGTGGAATCATCAAATATCAAACTTAATGAACTCCATTGTTTTAATAACTAATAATAACCATCTTTTTTAATAATTGTCATGTTGGAATAATGAGATTCATTAATTTTTTTTTAGTCACTGATAATGCTCAAAAATACTTGGCCCAAGTGCAAAACTGTAGATTTGATTCAATGATGTGGGTGATAAAAATATTTAGATTAACCGAGGAATAAAGGATGAAGTTGGGTCAAAATAATATATAAGTTGTTCATCCTAACAGAAGGACCAAAGCTAAATCCACTATAATAGAAACTCTTGCTCTTTAAGGTTTATATTACTTGAAAAAGAAGATTACAGTAGAATTTCTAGGCTTAGAGCCTTTGTTTATAGTGCTTTGTGAATACAGACTTATTTGAACTGTTTACATAGAGTGACAGTGCTCTATTTATATAAGTAATTAAGCTAGGGTTTTCTGTGATTTTATCCTTCATTTTGCTGATTTTGTGATCCTCTCTTCCTTTGTCTTGTAGTGGTAACTGCCATCTAACGCAAATCGTGCCCATAATCCTCAAACGGAATGTGCATCAATATTCCATTTGCTAGAGGGTACGTGTTCGTTAGTGGTTTTAGAAAGTGTCCTTCTNCTTTGCCTATTACAGCTTTTCTAAGCCGAAACGGCAATTTAAAACATATATGCAGGGTTGGATCACTGTAGACAATATAATGTGGCATCAATATCCACTTATGCGCACAACATATGTAAGTTTTAACGTATGAAAAGTATCACAGTGTGACTCAGGGATTGACATACTATGGGCATCACAATATGACATTAATGTCATACTGTATATAGACATTGTATATCATATGGTGATTCCAATGTAACAATTCATATACACATCATAAAAATATTCAAAAGCAAATGGTGGGTATCGCAGTGTGAATCCAATATTACAATGTAATTACACATCATATGCATTGTTTTTTCTTGACGTGGGCTCAAAAGTTGACTTCAATGTCATACTACAAAACAAACATTATATATATTATTTTGTACAAGGTGAGTATCACACAATGTGATTTAAATGTAACACTGCATAAACAAAAAGAGAAAATAGGGGGAGAGAGAGAATAGGGAAAGGAGAGTAACATTGAGAGAGAAAAGGGAGAAGAGAGTAACGAAGGGAGAGAGAACAAGTTTGAGAGAGAAAATAGAGAAAGAGATAGAGAGAGAGAGGAACAGAGAGAGAAAATAGGGAGAGAAATAGTAAGGATGAGAGTCAGATAGAGATAGAGATAGAGAGAGAGGGAGAAAATATAAAATCCTTTTAAAACTAATGTAATCTTTTCAAAATTTAAACGATTAATTATCCTTTAATTTTAGAAACCATTTAGCTAGTAAAATAGAAACACAAAAAATAAGAAAACGACTAATAAAACGAAGAGTGCTATTTTTAAAATTTCAGTCGTTGAATGAAAGAGGGAGATGTAATTCAAAATTCAAACGTCCTGTCCCAAAAAAAAAAAAGAAATTGAATCCCACAATTAACTGCCTAAATTATCTTTCATGAATAAAGCAAAAAAGGCTTTTATGTAAATAAAATATTTAAAAAATAGTCAAAGTGTATCCATTCACAAAACATTTATATAAGAACAGGACTTATGCACAATATTTATATTAAGATACTTTCTCACAAATAAGTAATATATAATAGACTTTTTCACAAATTTTCCATTTAAAAATTAGAGGGATTTGTAGGCCAGGCTCAATAGAATTCCAAAAAAAAAAAAAAAAACTACTCGCTAATTTTCTTTTGGATTAGGTCTTTGTTAAAAAATCAAAACAATGAACATAACTGACGTTTTTTCCAATTGCTAAAAATAGCGATAATGATATCACTTAATTTAAACATCTATTCTAAAACCTACATCATCATAACGTACATTTTCCTCCATAATTATAAATTGTAAGATAGGTACACTAAAAAAAAGCAGGTACACAATTTAAAAAGGATATACATAACTTCTAGCCAAAATATACCACGTATGAAATAAAAAAAATAAAAAATACCAGGTACGTAATAAAAAAATATAAAAAAATAACAGGTACGCAATAATCATAAGACGGGTATAGTAAAACACAGATCGCTAGACAGATATACTAAAATAAAAATATTCAAACAAGTACACTAAAATATAGATCGTTAATATATATTTTCTTCTCTATAAACACAAATCATCATATAAGTACATTAAAATACAAATTATCAGACAGGTATACTAAAAGATCTTTAGACGTCATCATAACATCTAAATTGCTTAGTTCATAAGTTTGGATTTCAAAATTGATAGACAACACCGCAAAAATATCAATAACAAATGCAAAAAAAAAAGCAAAAAAAGCTAATTATATTTTAGGCTAAAGTCATGTGGTGAGAGCAAAATGGATAATAAAAACCAGTAACTAATCAATCCTTTAACATTCGCGCCAATACAATAATCGCATGCAAGTTTTTTTCAAAAACCAAAAGACTTTTTTTTATACTAAAAATTCGGTAAGACTAAAATTAATTTATACACTAAAAGAGGGACCCTAATCTAATTAACTATAAAAATTATTGTCTTCATCTCAAATATTTCTTAAAACATGATGTTTTTTCTGATATTGAGGCTTAGATTTGTTTTGAGAATTAAAAATTCAAAAAAATAAGAAGTTACAAACATAATTAAAAACTCCAGCTAATGCATTGCTAATAGAATAATGCTGACAATACATTGGATACTTGCTTCTATGAAAAAAAAAATTCAAAATTAAAATTGATAAGTCCTACTTGAGATCAAGTATGTTGCAAAAACAATTTATTACATTGATTATTGAAAGGAATTAAAAAATGTACATTGATCTTAAACATTCCTTTCAAGCGTGATCTTGTCCTTAAAACTTTTGACGTTGTTCAACTAAACTCATTTACTCCCCACTCTATTCAGTCAAAACCCAGATCGAGAACCTTCTCTCACTTAAAGCTATTGCTTTAAGCTCAAATTATCTTGAACTGACCTTGTTTTCATGCTAGATGGTCAACTCATTAGTGTTGTAATTTAGTTAATTAGTACATGTATCGAAAAATGGAAAGAGATTTTCTGCCCCTTGGCAAATAAAAGGAAAGTAAAAATAAAATTTATCCCGTCATGTATGACAATGATAATTATAACATAGCCACATGAATAATGCGACTTGAATTTATTTCATTGACTTAATTCTTGACTTAATCAATCATTATAATTGGATTAACAATGATTCTTAATATCTGTTGAGATTCACTATCAAATTGATAGATTTGATGATATTATTGTAGACATAAGATGCGATACTTTCATCGATGCATGATGGTAAAAATAGACTTAGTACGTACAATGTTTTTTATCGTTGTTCACTTTGAAAATCCTATTCATATGAATTTTAGAATCATATGTATTTTCATTACATATCCACAGACATAATGGATTAATTTTTATTATATATTTATAATACGAGTTCTAAAAGGAATTGTAATCCAAAATAATTTACCAGCTAATGTTTGTGAATAAGGGTTCCTTATTTATATAATGAGCGAAATTAAAATCAACATAAATTCAAAAATATAAATTCCAAGCTCATCGAAATTAATATAAAAATACAGTACCTATAATCAATGTGGGGTTGGAGTTACAATTTAGAATTGAAATTTTGGGTGATTGAGGTTGAGAACGCCCATCATTTAATGTCGTGCGACTCCAGATCGTGGGACACATGATCATTGTAATCCCGGTATATATCCTTGGTCCAGAACCTTATTTTTGTCCTGCAGTTGAGGCTGCTAGGTTCTATATTTGATATGTTTTGTTTGCTATGGCTTTGTGGTGCCAACGTTGGGGTTCCTTGTGGTGATTATGTTGGTTTGAGTCCGTTTGACTTGTTATGTAAATGAGCGATCTAGTGCTCGATAGAAGTTTCAAATGTTGGAACATTTTTTATTTATTTATAAAATATTCCTATTGGTCCTACATATATATGGTGTTTTTAATTATGGATTAATGGTTCCCTAAATCAACTAAGAGAGTGTAACTTAATTGATTATACGCGGGGCGTGATTTCCATAAAAATAAGAAGTGAAAGTGTACCATTCTCTTACGAATTTTTTGATGGACAGATGCCTAGAAGATAAATTCTTATATATATATAAGTGTGCGTGGTTTTTTTTTTTTTTGGGGGGGGGGGCCATCTCCCTCTCGATGCACTTCAACGTATCAATATTTCATCACTCTTGTGTGCATCAGAGACTTAGGTAGTACATCACATTCTTATATTGAAAACCTAATCAATATTAGTAATAAAGGGTCGCTATAGTTATAAAGTTGGATCGTTGGAATTGTAATTTATAGGTTTGTCGATCATTTTATTTAATTATAATATGATTATTGAGATTTGATCATATTGAATACTTTAAATCCGTGTTTATTAGGATTTTATAAGCCCAACAAATGATATCTGGGTAAGTTTGAGTATTTTCTAAACAAATCTATGAGATAATCCGATGTTCTGACTGTTGGCTGTGATTAACAATCGGCGTTGTCGAATGTTGGATCAGCGACTATTTTCTGTTCTTCTGGCTTACTGGTTCACGATGTTTATTGCCGCCATTTCTTTGTTACCGTCATTAACACCATCTGTTGAAACTAGTGTTGGGATAGTTGTCTCTGGGTCA